AGCTTCAAAGATATTTGAGCCCCCTCAGTGAGTGACAATTGTGTCTGCATTTATATATTATATGTGAAAACATACCAAGCCCCTAATATTTTCCCAAATTGGGGGTCGATTTTTTCTGTGGAAACATCTAAAAGAACAAACAAACAAACAAAAACCACCAGAACAGCATTTTAAAGGTCTTGTCTTAGTTCAGAGTGCAGTCTCTTAGAAGGCAAAGTTTCATTCTTTGCAGATGAAGATAGGAGAATAGGTCGTTAAAAAACCCAAACCAAAACAAAAAGGATTAAATGATTAGATAAAATTAATATTAATGGTTTTATTCATAGCTCCATGAAGTCCACGGTTTTCTATTCATTTTAGGCCCAAGGAAGCAAGACAATGCCACACTAGAAACATGGAAGATATCTAGCTCAAGTGTTGGTGAGGAGATAAAGTTATAGGGGTCTGCCAAATTATGAAAATACTTTTTTTTTTCCTTATAGAGATGTTAATGACTTGTTCAGTGGCGTTGGGTTTTGGTTTGGTATTTTGGTTTTTTTTGTTAGGGTATGAGAGGTCAAAATGATAAATTTTAATCCCGTCATAAGTGATAACAAGTAAAATTTGTAATAAACATGCCCCAGTTGACATTATTTTATACCTCAAAAATATTCTAGAATAAAAACAAATAAAAAAAATAAAAATTATAGCTTAAAGTGTTAAATCATGTTTCCTTGCTATGCCTTATTTAGAAAAACATGCTCAAACTGATTTTTGGTTCTCTGAGAGGAAATTAATCAGATTTTAATTTCTATATGAATGGCTTACCTATTCCTGAACAATCTCAATAATGGATTTTTTTAAATAATGGCTTTTAAAACTTATTTTGATGTCATAGATTCAGGTAAGAGCAGTATACTTCTCCTTTTTACAAATTCTCTTAAATCATCCATAAATATTTAAGCAAAATTTCCCAATCCTTACCTGAAACTATTTTCCTATCTGTAATGCAGTAAGATAACAGTCAATATTTATTTATGAAATAAACAATTTCAATCCTATTGCAGAAGGAGCCATCCTAAAGGAATATTCTCCATCAAAGTTCTTAAAGCAGAAGTACTAAAATGAGACTGTAGCCAAATGAGCCATTTTTATTATCTACTCTTTTAGGTTGCATCTTCATTTGGATTTTCTTTCTTAAACATGGTTAGTAGTTTCAATTACTGAATTTATCTGCAGTGGAGGTGTTGTCTATAATTTGAAAAAGGTCTCCCCAGGTTACAAGAAGGTGCCTTATTTTAGCAAGAGGATTGTATCAATTACCATTTGCAAAGGTTAATTTCATGTGGAAAAGATCCTCAAAAATGACTCTGCTATCTAAATCTTTAGATGAGTCACAATGATTCTTTTCCCTTCCCTCCTGGTTTATAGATTTCTATGCAATTAAAAGCCAGATGCTCTGAACTAAATCAAAGCTGAATCAGTTATATAATAAGTCTGCTATTACAGACTCAGTGTGCTGCAGGATTTGGTCCAAGGCCTGTAGGTAAAATCCCAATACTGGTACTTCTTTTCAAACAAATATTAGAGTGTCCAATTTAGACAAACATCTTAGTTTCTAAGTGCAGGTAAAACAGAGATAAGGTCTTCATCTTTTTTTCTTCCTCTGACAGAATAAAACAAATCCAGCAAGAATGGAAAGAGAAAACTGTGAGCTGCTACTCACTAGATACAATCACTGACAATGGTAACTGACATATTATTATGTGACCTCATCAATGTTTTTTGAAAAATGATGGAACCTTTAAGGTTAAAAAAAATGTGAAATTTTTAATGAAAATGTTTTAATTTTGTTGTTACTTTGTTTTGTTTTATCCTAACCCCAAAGATATGGTTTTTAACAGGGTGAATTTATTAGTATACTACTGATCTGGAGACCAATAATATGTTGTAGCAAGGTGCATTTAAAGTAAAATATATGAATTCAGGTGCTATTACTGTCTTTGCAAAAGCCAGCACACAGAAAGACCACTGTGAAGAAAAAAGCATACCTTTCACATATATAATTTCCAAAATATTCCAACTGTGGATTTGTAGCTTAAACTCAGTTGATTTCCCAGGAGAAAAAAGATTTATATGGGTGGACAAATTAGTATTAAGAAGATGAGAATCTCACTAATTTTCAGATAAACTGAAGAGCAAGCACTAAAATTTTCACAAGTTCCCGATACCTAAACAAAGGCAACAGTACAAATATCCAGTCCCTAATTAGCAGATTAGTAAGGATGTTCTACAAATAGGATGGAAGAAGCAGTATGATTGAGCTGGGTCCTCGCAGCCAGTAAAGGCATCAGAGAAATCCCTCCCTGCAATAAGAGCAGGTTGAGATCTTATGCGTTTTGAGTTAGCAGATTCTTTTGTTTCCACAGGATCGAAAGTCAATTCAGGTCAGAAGGGACCTCTGATCACCTACTCCACCCCCATGTTCCCATTTTGTTCATTCTTTACAACTGTCTTTTAAGTTGGTAAATAAGGTTTTGGGTTTTTTTGCTTGCCTCAAGTAACTTTGTCATTTCTTTAAGCTTCCATCACTCTGCAAAAATGGGACAGTAAGTGGCAGGGCACAGAATCACAGAGTATGCTGAGTGGAAGGGACTCATAAGGATCATTGAGTTCAACCCATAGCCCTGCACAAGACCATCCCTAAAAGTCACACCATGTGCCTGAGCGTATTGTCCAAATGCTTCTTGAACTCTGGCAGGCTTGGTGCTGTGACCACTTCTCTGGGGAGAGCCTGTTCCAGTGCCTAACCTCCTCTGACACAACTTCAGGCCATTCCCCGGGGTCCTGTTCCTGTCCACATTGGGAAACACGAGGTTAGTCAGAGTTATAACCTTTTACAGAATCATCTCTTCTCACATTTATTTTCAACAGAACTTACAAATTTTCCTCTGTGTGGCATAACGCACAGTTAAGATGAGAAAGTATTGCAATAATTGTCACTTCCCTGGCTTTCAGAAATGTGTGATTGCAACTAAGTATTTTACCAAATCTCATCTGGTTTTGTTTTTATCTTTTTTTATTGGTAAGAGACATTTATAATGCTAATTTTTACTACATTGCCCCGTGCACTTTATGCCGAATTTTGTTCAGCAGCTAATGTTGACTCTAAGCGCTTCACTCAGAAATGAGAAAGTTGTGCTACAGTGTTCCTAAAGGGACTATGCACAGGACAAAACCACTTCCCTTTTTCAGCTTTAGATTTGCAACTCTCATTTTCCCAGGATGACCTTTTTCTTGTATTATAAAAGCCAGGTCTTACAGTGGATGATTCATGTTCTGTGAGTTGTGACTGTTGTATATACCCATATGCCACATTCTCTTATTCATCAGCTTTACAAAACCAAGCAGTGAAACCCTGACCTGATTGAACTCCGTGGGAGTTTTGACATTGTCTTCAATAACACTGGGATTTCACTTAAAATCTTTGTAGCCTTTAAACGAAAGAGCCTTTGGTCTTTTCTTTTTGGAGGAAGAGGAAGAGCACCAAGACACAGGATGGTGATATTTATGATTTAATTAGATATATCTCTTCCATTTGTGAGACAAAACAGTCAATAGAATCAGAGAGGACATAAAGGTGAAGTAATCAGAATTTTCTCCGATGGGAATACGTTGGCTGAAATCTGCATAAACATTTCTTTTGCCAGGACCTGTAAAGACCTGGACTTAAGAGACCACATTGACTCATTTGGCTTTCCAGCTTATTTATAAGCATAAATAAGTTACACAGAAAATGTAATTCTGGTCTCTATTAAAGAAAAGACAGACCTGGTTAATCAAAATTTTAAATAATTCAGAGGTGAAACAAAGTTATCCAGAGCTTTAATTTTAGCTTGAAATAATGTAGTTTCCATTCTCCATTCATTCTTTTATGTCCCATGACTGATGGATCACTTTCTTTCCTCCCAGTGAGTGGGAGCCTCTCTCATGCTGGGTTGCTGTTAGAGAGCTTTCTAATATCCCTTCCAATACTTTGTCCACTGGACTCCAACACAGAGGCAGTGAAATTTATATACGATTTCAGAGATGGAAAAAAAAAAAGTAGAGCTTTATACTTGAAAAGTAGGAAGTGGAAGCCTAATGTGAGCTAGCAGTGTTGCCTGCATGTTCAGCACATGAGACTTGGCCAGTGCAAACATATTCTTAACACTGATGTTGTCACCGGGATCACACTCTAAAATGCCCTGCTGCGGCATTTCTCCTACGTTGCCTGTGTGGTGATGGAAAATTGCTGCTTGTCCAGTCCTATGACTGATTCCTTATTTTCACTCCCTTTTCAAGTTGTAAGTGTGTCAAGGAATACACTGACCCTGAATAACAGTGCTCTATTGTTGAGCTGACTCATAAAAGTCACATATGACAGTAGTAAAGAGGTGTCAGAATTGAGCCTTGGAACTAATACAGAAAAGTATGTTTTCAATATTTCTTCCCTTGATTCCCCAAACACAGTCAGAGGAGTTATATCTTGACTATTAAACAATGAGCAGCATTCAGCATGAGGCAAGCAAGCTGCCAGCAGCTCCCTGAGCTGAGCAGGTTGGTCTCTATTCCTTCATCTACTTTGTTAAATTACATTGCTCTGTAGCTCTATTACTCATTGCATGCTCTCATTCCTCTCTGTTCCATTCCATTCACGTTACTTTTGACAATTATTGTCTCTCAGACCACAGACTCACTAGCTTTATTAAACTTAGTTACATACCATACCTCTGAAAAACTAAGGTTTTCTTTATGTTATAGAGAGAAATTCACAGATAACAGATTTTGCTTGCCTCCCTTGAGAGCCAAGACAACAATATGCTTCATAAAGCTTCTTCTCATTATGTCTTGCAGAACCCAGGAAATTTTGAATTTTGCTCCTCCTCTCTCAGACAAGCTGAATGAAAAAAGAGAAAGTCCAAAAGAAATACTGTAAAAGGCCAAGAGAAATGCAAAACTCAAAAAAAATTTACAAAATTAAAACTTATTTAAGTTCAATAAAGAAGATGTTTTCCTGTACTTTAGTGAAAAATTCTCATGCTGGCATAAATGCCAAGCCTAAAAAAAAGAGAAAAAAAAGAAAAAAAGGAGATATCTGCTCTAACACTTTATATATACTCAGAAATTACTTACTAAAGGGAAACTTGCCACTATTTTCCATCTCTTTTGTCATCAGACTTTAGCAAAATATGAATGCTATGTTCCTCTGCTCCTATTGAAACTATTCCACTGGCCAGTGACTGAAAAAGTCACCAGATGAGAGATGTAAAATTGTGAGGATGGGATCTTGGTTTTGGGGCTGCTTGTTCTGGAATGACTGTTCAAACTCTTAGGACAGAAAGTCATATCTTCCTCTTACAGTCAGGTCAACTTTCCCTCCCCAGGTGGAGATATCACTCGATTATATCTGAATGCCAATCCTATGCATGTGTGCAACACATGTGGTGCTCCGGCAGCAGCTCAGAGGCTGGTGACCTGTTGGACCAGGGTGTTGGGCCCTTTCTGTACAGCTGCAGAGCAGGAGGAGACATGGGATCCAGGCACCCAACCCCTCAATCCTGTCAGCAAAGACAATACCACAAGTAACCAGAAACAGACCTTCTGGTGGTTGTTAGTTAAAGAGTTCAGCAGTTCGGTTTGCCCAGAGAAGTCAAAGTCTTTGTCTTACCTAAGTAACTTCAGTGTCCAGCAGCAGCTGCAAAAGACATTTTCAGGATTGATTTTGGAGCCTAAATGCAAATTCAACTGAAATCCTGTACTGATCTTGGTCTCTTGTTTAATTTATTCTTCTCTGTGATGTCAGAGAAAAGTCTTCACTGTGCCTTTACATTTTGGGAAGATACGAAGTAATTGCCACAACTTGTAACCAGTGTAAGGACTTGGATCAAAGCCCTGTGGTTAGTTAGAAGTCTTTTCATTCAAATTTAATTACATATCCTTCTGTGATTTTTAATAACAATTTAGCCCTTTCCCCTAACAGCTTCCTGATTAACATTACTTGTAAAATTGAGATGTTGCCTTTAGAGCTTGTAACAAACCAATGCTTTTCAGCTCCCTGCAGTGCTGGGACAGCACTATTCCCTCCCTATTAAACTAAGGATTTAGGCACCAACACTTTGCACTGCCCTGTTACCTGGCTTTCCTTGAGTGGAAAGGCTTTTTATAGATGTGCATATTTCATCCCTCTCGTTGGGGTCCCTGGATGAGGAAGTGGAGAGCACTCAGTGGACTACAGTGAGCCTCAAGTTTCTACAGTCAGACATCTCTGCTCTCAACTGCAGATCCTGTTCTGGAGAGCTAAAAGTGGGTGGCGGTGATAAGAGGGAGAGGGAGCAAGAATCAAGGTGCCCTGATTCTCTCTGGGATACATTTTGCACTAAGAGTAGATGAGAAACAAGAAATAGTAATGACTATGGGAGCTTGACCTATATACAAGACTCAACCTTACCATCTAAGAGCTCTAACCACTGATTCATATTCCTTGCTTGTTTTTCCTCTAAGTCCTAAGTATGCTTTTGCGTCTGGCTCTTAGATAAATAAGACATACTTAGTAACATAACAGCTATCTAAGGGGCTAAAAATGATAATTATTTTGACCTATATCCCAGTGATGGTAGCAGTTATTCAGAAATCACTACAGTAAGTGGCTGCAGTAATTTGTACTTTTGATGTATGCCTGCTGATCACAGCCCTTATCTTTGACCTTGGCATCAATGAAAGCATGACAGATTTCAGAGGTTTTAAGACATAGATTAGCTTGTTTGAAATTATTACTGCACTGACCTCTATTTCCAATAAAGAAGCATATTTTCTGTATGATATAATGTCAGTGAATGTTTTACATTGTATTCTTCATCAGTTACAAGTAGCTCTTGTTAATTCTACTATCCATTTTCCTTGGCTATATTCAGTGTTATCAGTTATGACATAAAAAATGACAATCAGACCTGCTGTCTTATTTTATGCTTGTGCTCCTATTTTGCAACGAGGAGTTAAATATGATCAGACCACAGGTTCTGTTACTTTTTTTTTTACATCTATTACATTTTGTTTACATTGTTTTGTTCTCAAAACCAAAAAGTACTGCACTTACTTTAATGCAGTAATCCCTATTATTGTCATGAAGAAAGACTAATCTGGATTCATAGTTTCCTGAGGAAAAAACAATTCTCTCCCTCTAGCCTCATATAAAAAATAGTCTTTCATGATAACAATTCCAGTGTGGTTCATGATGTTACACTTTTCCATCTGAGTGCTTACCTAGGCTGCCTTCAATTCCTTCTCAGTAGTTTTGAGGACACGCATTTAACTTTTTTGTATTTACTGATCCTTCAACAATAACATATGAAGCAAACATTCAAGTTTGCAAAGACTCCAGAAGAAAGAAGCAAATTGGCTGGGTACTGCTGTATTGTCAGAATGCCTTCGGTGTGTTAGAGTGATAATCCTCAGATTATATCCTGGTCTGTGCTTCCACAAAATGTGTCTTCCACTTTCCTGCCAAGAAAAAATGTCAGGAAGGTCACCTGGTGTGATAGGTATCTTGTATTAGATTGATTAAGTGGGAGAATCTGGATGATTGAATTAGGTAAACGAGTTTCAAGGAAGATCAGGAGCTTATCAGCATAATGAACATACAAATCTCTAGTGAATGGGAAACTGGTTAGATAGGAAAATATTCAGCAGTATCAGCAACATTTTAGATGCTCCTACACTGAAATGACAACTATGGCAAAATAACACAAACAAAAATGTGTGTATTTAAGCAATGTTATTTTAGCATAAAAGTTATCACTCAGTTGATCATTTCTAGAACCTGAATGCTGATGAAGAATAATGCCACCTGCTAAGAAACAGAAAGAAGAGGTACAATTTTTTATATCAAGGGCATATGCACTTTCCCTGAATCCAAGCTCTGATGACAGTTAAACTCATTAGATCTCCGCACGATGATAGAAAGAAAAAGCCCAACAGTATTGCTGTCAGGTATGGTCTATTGTTGGTTTCTAAAATAACAAGATCAAGTGGAAGAAGCCTTTAGAAAAGAACAAAAGGGAAAAAGTGTTAGCACAGTCATCTGACAGATAGGCTTTGATATTAATGACAGGTTTCTAACTTCTGACTCACTGAAGAAAGAGAATAAGACTATACAACAGGTAAGCAGGACATATCTTTAGATCCAGGAAGTTAAGACAGGACCCAAAGAATAATGTCTTCTTCAGGTCTGAATAACTTTGGAAAACTGGCAACATGGTAGACATTGATCGTAACATCATGAAGTGTTTAATTCCTAGAGAAAAAGAGAGACCAAACAATAGAAGAGGCCTAAAAGCTACTGAAATCATTGCAACTTCAATTCTCAAAGAAATATAAGAAAAAAAGAAACCTGAAAAATCTCCTTATCGTCTAGAAGACATTGAACTAATAAGCAATAATCAGTATGGGTTTGTAAAAAAAAAAATCCTGTTGAAGCAATTAAATTTTTAGGACACGGCAACAAACCTGCTAGTTGGGTGAAAACAGATATTTTGAATTGAATAGGACTTTTGACCTTGTCCAACAGGATGTTTGCTTGGCTTCTTCCAAAAATAAACTCCTGATTAGCTTCCCACAAAACAGATAAGCAATTGGAGAAAATTTTTCAATAGGTTAGAAGTTAAAGGATGAATATAGTACTATTGGGAGATTTTTATGGGTTCTATAATCTTAAATATTTTCATTAGGGTCCTGAACAAAATACTATGCATTAAATGTGTAAAAAGCCATGTGGGGCTGTAAGGTTATTGTAAAAGGAAGATTAGAATGAAACGTCTTGACAAATAGGAGAAACTGTCTGAAACAAAATGAAACAATGACAGCAACTAAAAAAAACCCAAACAAACATCTCCAAACAAACTAACAGTAGAAAAAACCCTCTGAAAAAACCCTCCAAAGAACCCCCAGTCCTAGACAGGAAAAAGTGACAACCAAAAATAAGCTACACATAGCTGTCAATGGCATGTAGTATTAGTGTAAATAAGAATTTGTGTAATGACTGTTTACAAAAAAATCAATCATAATTAAATAATGTTACTGAAATACTGAAAAATAAAAACAAAATTGTTTACAGTGAATCACAGGAAGTAATCATTCTGTTCTTCTCAGCACCAATATGGCCTCCCTGGGACCCCCATTTCTAATTGTGAATGTTACAATCCAAAAGACGAGCTCATAGGAATTATTAGACAGTAAATGTGGAAACATGAAAATGTGATTTGGTTTCTCAGGAGAAAAGAAAACCATGGAGGAACATGATAGCAAGCTTAAAAAGATGCTGGGGAAAAAAAAAAAGGAAGGGAATAAGCTTTTTTCATATCTTCTGAGAATGAGACAAGTAGTATGGACTAGAAATGCAGCATTGGAGGTGTACATCAGACAGGTGGAAAGAGATCTAATGGGAAAGACAGGTAAGTACTGGAGTAGATTGCTCAGTGATAATGTGCTGCATCTTCCTCTGCAGGTTTTAAGAACTTAGCAGGGATCTGTCAGGAATAGTTTAGATACAACCAGTCTTGCCTCAAAACGGGGAGGAAAAATGAGACAGACTTTCTGATTCTCAGCTTATTTCTCTGATTCTGAGAAAAACTCTATCCAAAGGAAAAAAAAAAAAAGAACAAAGAACACACAAGTTAAAACCAGTAGGTTACTAGTGTAATTACAGGAAATACTTGTTTCCTGCATTGCTTTTCCACTAAAATGTGTGTGCTTTACAAGTATCTTTTGTATGTTTTAAAATTCAGCATTTATTTCTCGGTCTAGAGCATATGTTCCCAGCTGCTCAGTTCTGTCCTTTTAGCACAACTCACTTTGTGTTTCTTAAAGATTCATAACATTTCTCATGCAGTGTAGTACAGTATAGTGCTTGTACAGTGTAACTAATGAATCATATTGCCATCCCAAATGTTCTGAAGACTGTTACTTGAATTAAACATCCTTGAGGTGTGAAGCAATATTCTCTATTACTGTTAGTCCCATATATGTTTGTTCCTGTGCTGGGCTAAGGCCATCTATGACTCCCCAGTTTTGACATCATATTTTGCTTTTTTTACTGGAATTACAAGTAGTTTGGAATGAGCTGTAAATTCTGCTTGCCTAATGGATCATAAAGAAGTACAGTCACTCAGCTGGAAGCATATTATTTCCTTATCTTAATAGCATGCAGGTAGCTACTGCTCTTTGAATGCGAATTCGGTTTCTGTACTTCTAATGTGTTTGTCCTGATGGCAATTTCATTACAGAAACAAAGAGCTTCACATATTTTTTTTTTTTAATTAGGAAGAATATTTTTCCACATTTGTTAAAACCTTTAGACCATTATTCACTGACAGAATTCGACTCATGTTTCATGCTGCAGAAAATGCTATAATCCAAGCCAATGAAGTTTTCCCACTCACGTTTTATTCAAAAGAATAATCCTTTCACAGGTATAAAAAGAAACCAGTGCTCAGGATGAATGTATGAGCTTCTCTCTGCCACAGGAAATGTATAATGGAAGATCACTTAACGATCCCATATGCTATTTTTTTAATGTTCTTAATGGACCCAGCAGATTGCCTATTGCAGCTTCTTGTCTCTGGCAGGATTTAGTACAGGTGCATTAGGAAGAAGCATAGGAAACAGTAAATACTCAGTAATCCCTCCTTAGTATATTTTCTTCTCTTATTAGTTTTATTAGTTATAGTTATATTTACAAATACTTTTTTATTTAACTGATTGTCAAATACATCCTTTCTAAAGAAATAATTACTTTTTACTAAACAGTGGGGGAGCGTAGAGGAGGGAAAGAAAACGCCCCATCAAAACATTTATCTTTTATATTACTCATTACTGGAAAGGAGAGGAATATTATCTCCATCAAAGCCAAATTCCCCAGCGCAAGAACAGAGAGCGCAAAATTTTCTCTTTTTTGTGCTTTTAATACAAGTAGGGGTGTTCAGCCCCCTGGGCCTATGGTCAAAACCCAGTGAGGAAGCGTGTAATCATGTTGCTGGCTGGCTCGGTACCTCCCAGAGATGCCACCTTTCCGGAGGTGGGCAGAGCCTGGCTGCGCAGCTTGGCTGGCCGTACAGAGTATGCCTTCAGAGCACGCAGCAGCCCGCCTCCTCCCTGCCCTAGGAGTGGGAGCCACCAGCTGAGTGGAGGAAAGGAGTGCTGCTCTCTCCCACTCAGGTAGGTGCCTGTATTTAGTTTTTTTGCAGCTACATCCTTTATACTTGCCATAAACAGGCTTGCAGGACGCTGATTTTGGGACAATCGAAAGTGAAAGGTTCTCGCATTACCACGTAGTACTCTTCAGAGCAGCCAGGGTGTGCCAGAATGCTCAGATTGGCTTAGGAGCTCTTTGCAACAGGGTGCTGTATAAAAGAAGAATCTTCCACTCACTGTCGCTAGTCTGGATAGTTCCTAGGCAAACTTGAAGAGAGGGATAGACACTTGAACATTTGGGATCCTTAGGAAAATTGCAACAGGTGCAACAGCACAACTCAGCACTGTACATGAAAGAGGGAAATGCAATGACTAGAAATATCACCTGGTCATGTCTTTCAGAAAAAAACAAACACTTCTGAAACAGATGCAGTCTGGAAGAGAGACGTCTGTACTTTCACAGTCATATGGTTCAGATCTATCTACTTTTCAGATGCCAAAAAAACTACAAAGTACTAAATCCAAGTAATTTTCTCAAACCTGAGGCAACTGTTAAGGGTGAAGCAGCAGCACTGTTGATACACTCTGGTAAGTGCACCAGCCACACTGGCCTGTACCACATAAAAACACATATCTGCCTTACACAATTTGGAAACCTCACACCTACACATCCACATTAACTTTCCCTTAGAAGAAACATGGGAAGGCAGCTCAGAGCATGAGCAAGCAGTGCATGATGTTAGTCTTCTAAAAACTGCCTCCCTAGGTTAATGATTCTTACACAGGAATAAACCTTAATAAATACTGTTGTTCCAAATAAGTACTATTTCAATCAGCAGTTCAGTTCACTGGTGCACTTTTTTGCTGCACAATTGGATTTTCTTAGCAGAGAGTGATCGACAGCCATGTGATGGATTCTGAACTAAGGGAAACTGGGGGGAAAATGCAGTAAGAAGGATAACTATATGGAAATGGATTAACAGAGCTTGCAGAAGGGACACAGTGACTGAAGATGTGCATGGCTGGAAAAAGCAAATGATATTTGAAACAAGTCTACTGAACATAACTTTGATCAGGTATCTAAAATAGCTCTGGGATTTTTCTTCAAATGTCTGATTGGTAGGATGGGAAGTGATTGAAACAGTAAAATGAGAGGGATCAAGGCAGCTGATTGGGCTTAACCCACCAACAGGCTTCTGTCCACAGAATTACTGTGCCATGATTTATTGTTTAAATGCAAATGCTGGGATGCCGGGTAGAACCTCAGTGAGCTCCCTCACAAAAATATCTGTGCAGGTGGACTAGATGTGAAC